TCCAAATATCCCTCCTTTTGCCCGATAACATCACCTTACAAAGATGTTATTCCTTGAATCCGGCCACTCTTCTGCCACTTCCCAAGGGGGGAGGGTCGCAATACTGGTACAGCCTGGACATAAATCCTGATGTTCACATGGAGCTTCAAATAGAAAAACCCACAGTACCATATGATGAACAGCCCGAGAGCCACTTACATTGCACCCTGTGGTTCAGGGACACCCCAGGTCCTGACCCATACTATGAAGAAGAATTATTCAGCCTAGTGGAAATACACCTCACATTGACAGACCTGTTCTGTGACTCCAACGGAAACATTGTTATCCTAGTCTACCTGCCTATGGAAGTATCACATATGTATCACTATTGGGAGGTGGCTATTCCTCATGTCTCTTTCACCAAGTCTCCAGATCTCTCATGGAAAGAACTCAGCCCCATGGCCAAGACATGGAGTACTGCAACTCAGGAACAACTCACAGTGACGGTGGTCACTGAGAGGGCCATAAACTGCAAAACTGTTGGTTACCCTCGATACCACACAGAGATATGTGAGGACATTCCTCCTACAGAACAGGACCCGGATGCCCCACATGATTGTTTTGAACAGATGCAAATGGAAACAACCCATCTTCCAACAGTGCACGAGGTTGCTCTACCGGACCCTGATTACACTCTGTTTGTGGATGGTTCCAGATTCGCAGATGAACAGGGCTAATATCATACCGGTTATGCAGTCACCACTGAGGACCAGATACTCCAAGCATCTCCACTCCCCTCATCTAAGTCAGCACAAGAAGCCGAACTAACAGCCCTTACGGTGGCATGCAAAATGTCTGAAGGGAAGCGTGTCAATATTTATACAGACTCAAGATATGCCCTAGGAGTGGCACACGATTTTGGTTTAATTTGGAAAACCAGGGGGTTCCTTACAGCAACAGGTACTCCTGTGAAACATGGCGCAGCTATCAAGGAACTGATGGATGCCTTACTACTTCCAGAAGAAGTGGCCATACTGAAGGTAAAGGCCCACGGGAAACTAAACTCAGAAGAAGCACATGGCAACCATTTAGCCGACCAAGCCGCTAAGGATGCGGCGCGCCAATGTCGGGAAGTGGACAGAAAAGTGTCCGTTGAAGAAACTCCTATTTACACTATGCAAACCCTACCCACTGATCTCAAACTCCTACGGGAACAGCAGGCCGCCGCCACCCCACAAGAAAAGCAAAGCTGGAAAGACAAAGGAGCAACCCTTCAGAACGAAGTATACACAATCAATTTCAAATTCTGCTTACCCAGGAATATGTATCCAGCTGTTGTTCAATGGGCCCATGGACCAGCTCATTTATCTAAGCACCTCATGAACTCTTTGATTGATAAATATTTTGAAGCACCCGAAATCACTACCCTGACACGAAATTACTGCAGGTCCTGCACCATCTGTGCTAAATGCAATCCGGGGAAAATATTCAAAGCTGCACCAAACCATTTGGCCAAACCACAGTACCCTTTCCAGAGGATCCAAATTGACCATATCCAAATGCCAAAGAGTGGCCAGTATGAATACGCACTGGTCATAGTGGATATGTTTTCAGGATGGCCAGAAGCTTTCCCGGTCGCTAATCTCACCACAAAGACCACGGCAAAGCTTCTATTCTTCTATTCCATATCCCGAGACAGATGCGGGCACACATAAGTTACTTTCTGGTGACTGGGTCATGGTCAAGAAGTTCCTAAGAAAACACACTCTTGAGCCAAGGTTCGATGGTCCATTCCAGGTCCTATTGACTACATCTACCTCTGTAAAGTTGGCTGGGAAGAATACCTGGATACACGCCTCACACTGCAATAAAGTCCCTGATCCAGAGGAGGCAGATCCTGTCAAATCATGAGTTTACTATGCTTATGTCTACTGATAGGCCTCTTAAAGGCCCAACAAGTTGCTATTACCAAAGATAATCATGTCTATACGTTTTGGTATAATTCTTCAAACACACGCATAGCTACTTACACCTTTGATTACTGTGATATTGTCTCTTGTACTTTGCAAACTTTGTACAACACTCAGCAATATACAAAGACATACCAAACAAAAAGGACCCATATATTTGTGTGATGGGTGGGCATTGGGGACATCACTGTAGCTGGAAAGCAGCGGGTTGGAATACGGGTCGACCATGGGGCTACCGACCACAAATTGCCTTAATAGAGTTGACAGCAATGGGAAACCCTTGTTATACAGAATGGCCTTATGCAAGCCAACAGGGTCTACCCCAATGAAGCTCACCTTAAACATAGAACATCCTAGCCCAGGAGACGCTGGGGAGTATATAACGGGAATGTATTGGAAAGGGGGTGGCTCACATAATCAGTTAGGAACTTTCTATTTACAAGACATTCTCACGTCACCTGACTGGGTAGGCTCCACACACATGACCATTAATCCTCTCAAACCACACATTAAAACCCTTAAAGACATGGTGGCCATTGCCAATCCCACATTTGAAGACACTATAGCTGTGGAGACCGGGTTTTCAGATACTAATCTATGGCTTGTGTGGATGAGATATAATGCTAATTCACACAACAAGACCAACTGTTATGTTTGTGGTGGGGCTCGACCACAAACATAAGGCAGTGCCTTTAAATTTGCCTCCAGAAGTTGAGATGTGTTTCTTAAGCCTTTATGCACAGTCAGCAGTGAATTCATCAGTGTGTGAGTCATGGAAAAAAGTTTACCCAATAACTCAAGGGAGTACCAGGCCACCTGATGGCATCACGGTGTACCCAGGTAATTATATTTGCTACACAATACATGGAACTACAGGTAAATTTGTAAGCAAATTCCCTTCTGGCTACTGTGCCACTTATCGAAAACCTCCCATTGCCTTATTAGTGAATCAAGTTAAATCTGTGGGAGATATTTATTGGCTATGTGGTAACAAGCAGCTCAGATCAAAAATGACTGGCCTTTGGTGGGGAGAGTGTGCTCTGACTAAAGTCATCATGCCCATACACATATTTTCTGATAACCACCAAGGCCCATACGATTCATCACACACGTATCTTAGAGTAAAAAGAGAAACCCCCATTCAAGGTAGTTTTGACCCACATGTATACATCAATGCCATTGGAGTACCAAGGGGGGTACCAAATGAGTTCAAGGCCAGAGATGAAGTGGCGGTAGGATTTGAATCCTTGATCCCACTCATCACCGCCAATAAGAATGTTAATTGGATCAATTATATTTACTATAACCAGCAACGATTTGTCAATTATACCAGACATGCCCTCCAGGGCTTAGCAGAACAATTACAGACTACCTCCCAAATGACATTCCAGAATTGAATGGCCTTAGATATGATCCTAGCAGAAAAGGGGGGCGTGTGTAAAATACTCCCTGATACTATGACATGCTGTAGCTTCATCCCAGACAATACAGGCCCTAATGGTAAGGTAACCATGGCCATAAAGAAATTACAAAGTCTTTCTGACGAATTAAAGAGAAATTCGGGAGTCCCCAATTCATGGGACAGATGGTTTGGATGGATGAGTGGATGGCAGAAAACTCTCTTCTAAGTAGGTATGGCAGTTCTTACTGTGGTAATTCCCTCCCTGACTTGCTGTGTAGTACCCTGTGTGCAGGAATATTTACAGAAGACTGTAGGTCAGACTATTGACCGCACTACACCTACATTCCTACATCAAGATGCTGATGACGTAGACTGTGACACCCCTCACACACCTCTCCAGTCCCACCACCTCAAACAGACAACTACTTCCATGTAGGGACAGCATAGGGATAGCGTCTGTCTCTACGGGCAGAAGTCTGACGCAGGAGATGTAGTGGGTTAGCCACTGCAGGATACCTGCGCAGTGAAGTGTTCGAGGCCTGTTCAGACAGATGAGCTGCAGCCAATTAGGGACATTATAAGGGTTAGTTAGTAGTTGTCTGTCTTTTCCTCTTTTTCTTCGTAAATGGTCATTTTAAGGGGGGACTGTTGTGGACAAAAATATTTACCCAATTCATGTTAGTAAAATGCCTATTTACTCAGCATAACTACAATCAGCATTATTCAAATTTCTATGTGATTTACCTAAAATGGCCGCTAGGGAGTTTCCTTCTTAACATCGACTAACACCCTCATTAACAAGATGGTGCTGGAATCTGGGGGAGACCACCAAGATACCAGTGACATCACACCCGGTAGGAAGAGCACTAAACAAACCACTTAACACCTAACCAATTATTGATGTATTATTTCATGTTATCTCTGACAATGCATATGATGTAATTTTGCTTTATAAGGGACATGCCGTCCCCTCAGAATAAACATTCCTCAAGTTTTTCATTAACCCGAAACTTGTGTCTGATGTGAATTACTTTAGGAGTGTGCACGCATTACTTCTTTAATTTGACCGGGGGCAGATACGTAAGATAATCAATTTATTGATTGATTTCCACATCATACACTATGTATCATCTATGTTATGTACATTAAAGGACTTAATAACATTCATAAATATTGCTTATCATCCCTACATCTGCCAATGTTATTAAACAAATGTATATTCAGAGAAATGATTAACCTTAAGAGTTCCAACATGTTTCTTAGCATAGTATGGTAACTTGTGTGGCTGTGTTTAGTCAGTGATTTTCAGTTGCTAGGTTTATATTGTATATGTATTTATTTATTTATAAAATATTATTTTTTATGTAAATATGTGTTTATTTATATTTTCTTTGTTCATCATCCATTTAATACGTTAATTTAAAGCATTTACATGGTGGGATGCGCTGGTCCCCAGCAACCGCGGTAAAACTCTTCGTGTAGTTAGATACGGTATTTCAAGGTGGTTACACAGTTAGATTCCAAAGTATTGTCACCACTTTTATGGATAGGTACTACTTTTGCAGTCTTCCAAAGTTTGGGTATGTATCCTGACACCAGGGATTCATTGATAAGGGTAGTGACAGGTTTAGCAATTGCCAGCACACTGATCCGGTCCACACTGGTTTTTCATTTTTAAATTATTAACATGTTTATTAATGACACTAACAGGCACAGGTATAAAATTTTATTTCTCTATCTGAGGATTTTGCAGATTTAGCCAGGCCTGAACTTTATTTGTGGTCTGCAAATGAATGTCATTCATTATCTTAGCAACCAGGGTGGTAGCACTTCCAACAAAATAATTATTAAAGGCATTTGCTACATCTAGGGGCTGTTGAAGGGTTTGGTTGTCCATTTTAACAGCTGTAACCCACGGTAGGTGTGTCCCTTTTATTCTCACTTTACACAGAGGGGCATGCAAATTCCAAACCCGCAAGAGCTTGGACTGCAAAAATGCAATTGCAGAGTCTAGATCTGGTATTAAACTTAATCTGTGCCATGGTGCGTTCTTGAGCTCATTTAGAAAGAATTCAAGATTACATTTTTGGTGACCTGGTGATCATAATCGTGGGAGGGGATTTAGTGGCCTTTATTTTGCGTATGCAGTACACTAGACAGTGGTCAATGAAACTGTTAGGGAGAACGCCCGCCTCCTGGGTTGTGTCAGGACAACTGGAGAGAATCCAATCTAGCAAGGTATGGTTCTGGCTTTTAATACTAATGCGTGTTGGGGAGGAAATGAATTGTGTTAGCTGCAAAGTCCTCAACAGCGTACGTGATTTATTATTTTTAGGATTCAGCCAATTAATATTAAAATCTCCAAAAACCAGCAGTTCACTTTTTTGGTTTTGAGCTACAGTTTCACTAAGGAGTTGGGCTATGTCAGAAAGGGAGTGTCCCGGAGAGCTAGGTGGGTGGTAGATTCCAGCAACAATGATAGTTTTACTGAAAAGGATCTCAATTGTGCCAGAAATAAAATCAAAGGCAGAAGGGGAGTTATAGTTTTTTAAAGGGGTGAACCTTATGGACTTGTCAACAAAAATAACAATACCACCTCCTTTCTCTCTCCTCTCTTACCATTTCTACATAAAGACACATTTACATTTCCCTCTGGTCCAGAATTAAATCTCAGAGAAACAAATTTTAGGATTTAATTTTTATAATCTCTAGAAGATTTTAATTCTGCAAATGAATGAGTGAGTATGATAAAGTTAGCTAGCTTGGATTTGTGGCAGTGGTCTAGACCTATATATCCCCCACTCCTAAAGGCTATTGATAGCTATTAGACAACTTTCCCATATACCGACCCTTATATACTATAGAGACACTTCATATTAATTGTCTCATGCTTATTTTTTTTTTTTTAATTACAATTCATTCAACTTCATGACCATCTTTATACTTGCATATATGTAGGTCAGGGCACAACACAGGCTACATGGCTAGATTAAATAGTTAGTTGTCATTACTTACAATAATATTATTATGACCACATTTCACTAATGTGCAAAATTAGATAATTTCATTTTTATGTGTCTCAATATGTTAGCTATGTAATCCAGGTTTCAAATAAATGTTTTTATTTTTATTTTTTTACTAAAAACACCTTGTAGTGAAGTCTTTATGGTGTGGTGTTATTTGGGAAATTTAACTTGTAATTGTTAGCAGATATACGTTTGAAAGGGTATATATATGTAACTATTTTTTAGTTAACTATACTGTATATATTAGACTTGTTTCTTGTTTTTTTTCTTCATAGTTTTCCTAGGTAAACTGTATTTTTCTTTATAAAGTGTTAAGCTGCATTTCTGATGTTCCACTACAAATGGTAAATTGTCTTCAAAAGTCTCAACACCTTTTGCAGCACGCTTGCGAATTAAATTTCTGAGTGGATATCTAATCAATCCTACTGCCATCTTATTGGGATTCTTCATGTAGGCTTTTACAGTTTCAGGAATTGTTACTTCATGCTTCTTTGTAGCACTCAAGTAACTTTTGAAATAAGTTTCACATTTTTCAGTTTTCACCAGAGGAACAATTGAACAAGGTTTGAGTCTTGATACAAATTCGGTAAGTTCTTCGAAGGAAGAATGATCAGAGTATGGAACAACATGGATGTCCTTATGGTTTGGATTGATTTTACGACTGGTGGGTATAATAGCAATAGTTGAATGGTCACGGTTCCAACGCACCATATTGCCATAAGTGATTTCTGACAGATAAACAGCGATGATTCTACCTGCTCCATTTTTAATTTCAAATACATTTTCTAGTTCAAGCATTTTAAGCCGTTCTAGACGTTGAGGGGTTACAATCACCCAAGTTTTAAAGTACTTTGCCAAGTCAACCAAAAGGGACTCTTTTCCAATATGATAAAGACCTGAAAGAAAAAATTGTGGATTTTAGGCGAATCCAACAGTTACAGTTTGATATGAATGTTTAAAGTACATTTCAAACTAACCTTTATTTTTATATATTCCATGTAATTAATAAAGATGAAAAATAAGATTATCTGTCATGCATGTAATATTTATATAGCAAGATCACTATTATTGACATAATGTTAAGCCAAAGAAACCATGTATTCCAACCAGGTATGATGTTCACTAAACTGAGTATTTTTTTAGTTGATTGTGTTTCAAATGAAAAAAAAGAACATCAAAGAAATATTCTTTTTTTAATTCTTTATTTTTCATTTTGAGTTATAAACACTAAACATTTAACAAACATAAACTATAATAACAGACAACAACATGTATAAGTGAATTACTATATGCTACGTAAACTAGTAGTATCTAAAATCCCAAAATCTTTACATATTAATTACACGTTTTTCAAAATACATAGTCTAGACCAGTGGTAGTCAACCTTTTTCTTCCTACCGCCCACTAATGCATCTTTCTTGATGGAAAAATTTCCTTACCACCCACCAGTTTTTGTGCAAGTGCAGAATATTTTTTAGAAAGGAGGGTGTATTAAAAAAAAAAAATGTATGTATATTTATCTTTCTACTTTATGCATGTTTATAATGTTTTTAACTTTATAAAGTTTAATGAGAAAACAATAAAGTAAATTGAAATTACCGTTACTAGTGATTAATGAGATCCTTGAGGTTGATGCTGCGAGACTAAATATTTGATATCTGGTTCGATTTTCGTAAGGAACAAATGAAGGTCTCCTCTTTCGGTGATATTCAGACGATTTCTCTGTTTGCTCATAATATGATTTCTCATCTGTGCATCAGCTCGCCTCCTCTCCCTCCTCAATTCCCCTCCCCACCTTTTTTTTTTCCTTTTTTCTATTTTTTAACCTTCCTTATAGCAATGCCCAGTAGGAAGGCTGAGCTAGGTAGCCCACTTACTATTCCTTACTGTGGCAAAAGAGACCTCACCACTGGTTTTTGGAGGGGGCTGCTTGCCCGCCTCCTGCCTGCTGACTATGGCCCCTGGGAGATGGTGCCCTTTATTGGACCGTGCTAGCCCTTTAAGAACCGTCTGAGGACATATTGTGACTTTTGGGAACAATGCCCCTTTAAGACTATGTCCCCAGACCTTTAAAATACTTTGCTTATGACTTTTTCCCACTTGGTTCAGTAAATGGGGCTTACTGAACCAAGTACTGTACAGGCGGATCACCCAGAACTGGAAGTGAGCAGGCAATTTAGCTCCCAGGCTGGGAGCCTGCTGTAGGTAAATTACCGCCCGCTGGGGGGCCGCCGTTCATGCAAACGTACACGTGATGGCGGCCATCTTTTTTCAACTGAACACGGTCAGCGGTGTGTGTAGCCAAATTCATGGAACTGAAATCGGCTACACAGTTCCACGAACACCGCTGACCCTTACCTTCTCCTACACTGATTTTTCAGCCGCAGAGACTAAGTCCCGTTCGGCATGTGAAATTTTTTCAGTCATTTTTCCAGTGTGAAATTGACTGACCGCACAGCCAAAATCTATGGAACTGTTTTGGGCATGAAAATGTGCTTGCGGTTTGTCATAAAGGGCTTCCGACTAACTTTTTAACCCCTGGAAGGAATCACCTGAATTTTGGATATGTTTATATTTGAAGTGTGATATGTCGTTTTTATGAATATTGAATGTATAGTTTTAAAGTTATAGTACATGTGTAAAAACTGTATTTCTCTGCCTGTGATAATTACATTAACCCATTGTGTTCAGTAATTATATCACAGGCAGAGGGGAGGATTCTCTATTTCATACTCAATTGTTTCCACCATAATACAATTCTCACATTTTTTTCATTAACTACATTATTTTGTAAATATTGCCACTGTTAATATGTAAAAACCATTTAGCTACATGAGCAAACATTTTATTCTGCCTACGTCTGGTACTCATAGACAACATTTTTTTCACTTCTTGAGGTTATACCAAATGCTACTTGTGCTCTCTTATAGTTCCAGATAAAGCTATTAAAAGGTTTTTGAAATTCTGCCAAGATATTTTTAGGTACGATCAGGGGAATTGACCAAAATAGTGAGTTTATGGAGAAAATAATATTTCATAGCATTAACTCCAGAAAGAAAAATATTTATTTTCATTCATTATTTTATTTTTAAATTTACCATTGTTTTGTAGTTAGTTTCAATTATCATTGCTTTTTAATTAAATTTTTATACCTAGATATTCCAGTGTGTTTTCTGTCCATTGAAATGTTTATAGTTAAAGCAGAGGATATGAGAACTCTGAGAACGGTAGAGAACGGTAGATTCCCGCTTTAAAATAGTTTTGGCTCACTTGTGCCAATACAGAGAGAACATTTCTGAAGCATATCAGAATCATAGGGACAGTCCAGAACCTAAATGCCAGCAAATGCTTGGCTTTTCTCAATATTCAATTTATAGAAATCTACTTCAGAAAATCGCTGGATTTCTGTCATTAATGCTTTCAAAGATAATTCTGGTTTCTCTAAAGTAAGTAGTATGTCGTTGGTAGACAACGATATTTGAAGACATCTATCGCCCATCCTGAAGCCTTTTATTTTTAAGTTCTCTCTAATTTTTTGTTCCAAAGTGAAGACATACAACATTGAGGCCAGGGAGCACCCATGTCTTGTGCCATTAAAAACCCAGAACCAGTAAGATATATTTTCCCAAACCAAGTATGCATTCTGATAGATACTTTTAAAGAACCCAGATCATGTCCAAAAATTGGTTTCTCAGACGAAAAGTCTCTTCTAAATACATCCAGCCGACCCTATGAAAGGCTTTTTCGGCATCTAACGACAGGGCCAGCAAGATCCACTCTGTTTATATGCAAAAAAAATTATGTCTAAAATGTTTCTTATATTGTCTTCTGCTGTTCTCCCTGGAACAAATCCTGATTGGTCACTATTTACCGGGTAATGAACAACTTTTTAAATCTATTTGCCCAAACAGTTGAATAGATCTTTGTGTGAACATATATAAAAGAAAGAGGTCTAAAAGTTTTATCCTTACCAGGCTTCAGGTAAATGTTTGTTTTTTTTTTATATATATTTCTTTATTGAAAATGTCATCAAGATTACATATCTCACAGATACCATAACAACATATATATACAAAACATATCCAATAACAATAATTACTGATCTAAATACATATATCAACAGGACAGGTATAAAAAAAATAACAATCACACAATGCAAAACCCCAAACAATCTTTCACACCTTCAGAGTGGGAGAAAATTAGTCGTAAATAATTTTAACAGATAAATCTACCATCTTATGTCCAAAAGACTTATAACCGAAACCATTTCCCACTACTCCCTTCCTTCTCTGTCACTTTATCACTTAAGGACAAGATCCAATCCAACTTATTCTTATAGGGAACAAAATTTTTTTAAAAATATTGTGAATAATGAAGAATCCAACTATAAGCAATATAAGGTCAGCCATATTAATAAGATTTTGTCCAACCACATCTTATATATCCCTTTCTTATAAATTGCATTAGACACATTATTAATCAGGTTGGTTTCCATAGTCAGTTGATATTTAATTTGTTTAATCAAGTGAATCTTTTGAAAAGGAATGGATGATTTCCAGCTACTAGCAATTATAATTTTAACGGCCACTAAACAGTGCGTCGCTATACAACTTAATTTCAGTGATTTTGAATGCAAGTTTATATGCAAAAGGGTGGTGGCAGGGTCTTCTAATTTATTATTGGATAGTGTAAAAAAAATATTGAAAGCCCATGCCCACAGCGGCCTCACTACAGGGCAGGTCCACCAAATATGCATATAGGTTCCCACCCGGAAACCACTTCTCCAGCATGAGTCACCTAAATGCGGAAACATTTTGGCTATTTTAGACGGAGTATAGTACCAATTATATACCAGCTTAAAGTGACATTCAACCAAATTTAAGCTATGTATATTTTTGGTAATATGGGCAAGTGAGGTGCACCAATCTTTATCTGAAATTGCCATGGCTAATTCTTTTTCCCAAAATCGAATTATTTTACTGGTGCCTTCATTTACCACGGCTTCAGGTAAATGTTGACGAATGTTTATCGTCAACATTTTTTTAATATCTCCAATTTCATTAAATACATCTAGCAAATAATGCACTAAATCTTTATAAAAGATTTATATTTTATAAATGTAATTAGAAAATCCATCAGGACCCAGCACTTTATTTTTTAATTTTTGGACAACTTGAATAATTTCTGTGTCAATGGTGCGTTTAAGATATTAAAATCTTCTTCGGAAAGTTTAGGTAAATTAAACTTCTTTAGATATTCCTTAATTCTAGATTTAAATTCAGGTGGGCTAAGCTTCATTTAGTTTCCATTCATATTTAATTTATTCATATTAATAGTAAAACGGAATGGAATAAAATATATAATCCTTTGTTTCTGGATTTAAAGGTCTCCAAATATCCTGGGGAATATATATATATATATATATATATATATATATATATATATATATATTTATTTATTTTACATTCTTTATTTATGATATGAAGTGATAAACAAACAGGCTTGAAGTGACATGTCCACAAGATGTAATAATACATGAGAATAGACAGATGTCTAATAGGGCATTGGTACGAAGTCTGCATTTTTTTTTTTTTTAAGGCTAGGAATTAAACTGGAATGCTCAGTGCGAATTGTAACTAGAGGGGTCATGATAACACAAAGCATGACATATGCACTGGCATTAATGATTAAACAACAATAAAAAAATTGTAAAAGCCAGGCACACTCAATACCAAAGGAGAAGTATATTCTGATCAGGCTATGAAGTTAATTCAATACATTGGGCAGAATTAAAAATTGTAAGTACAAAAGGCAATATAAACATGAATAGTACAGGCTGGGTGTTGAGTGATAATGGAATTAAGCATGCTGTGCTAACTGGAGACTGCCTATGAGTGGGATCAGGCTGGTTAGAGACTGCCCAAGGATTTGGGCAGGTTAAATTACACATAATACAGTGGATTTAATTCCACTGGGCACTGATTTCTATGAAAAACATAAGAAGAGACAAGGACATTAATCCCTGTGTTAGAGACATAATAGTGACTTGAATGAAAGAGGATCTCTTCTCTGCAATGCATCTGTGGTTCATCCGACGCCGACAGGCCACACTCGAGAGAGCATCTCCTCGCCAGGACGGTGGTTCCGTCCCTTCCTCACTGGACCGTGCCGGTTCTGCTGAGTGCCAAGCTGCATGGAATGGATTAGATCGCCTTGCTATTTGGCTGCGTAACTGCCAAATGGCAGTATTCTACTTCTTTCTATATTTTCTCTTTATAAGTATAATTATGAAAGCAGACAATGATATCCCTTGGAGAATGGTCTGGGGCATGTACAGGTTTGAAAATCCTGTGAGCTTTAACCAGTAAAACTGCTTTCTCTGCGATTTCATCTGAAACTTCTTTAAAGAATTCATATAAATAATACTTTATTTCATCATTTTTAGACCCCTCTTTTAGACCTTCTGAGTTCCCTCTAATTCTTAGGTTACATTTTCTTGAGCGGTCTTCCAATTCTACCATTTTGTTATAAAGCTCAAAAAAAAACACTTTAGGATTTCATATGCATCTTGTTACTTGGAGATATCAAATTTGAAAGTTTCCAATTTTCTGAATTTTCTTGGGCCTTTTGATTTAGAATCTTTAATTTATTTATGGAAACTGTCATTTTAAAAAAAAATCTATTTATGATCTTCAAGTAGTTTACTGAAAAATTCTTTAGTGATTGAACCTTGTTCTGTGTGAATATTTGGTGGGAGTAATTCTGAACATTCTTTACATTGTTGTATGGTCTCTTTATCCCCTTTTAAATCTTTCTTGATCTTTTTGATTTGTATATTATTACAATTGAACCAGTATTGCCACATCAGCCTTAACAAGCTTAACAACATCATACATTATGAAATAGTAGCATGGCAAGTGAAGGAAATGCATATTTTTAAATTATGACTTGAGAAAACGGTTGAGTATTAACATGTGCAGTATTTTTGTGAGAAAAACAATCACATTGTAAACTTATAAGGGAGTGTGGGCTATGTCACAGGTGCTTGAGAAGGAAAACTGTCTCATGCCAACCAAAATAGTGAAACCCTCTGTGACCCTGAATAATGAATGCTAAATGTGATTGAAATTAAAATAAGAACGAAATAAAAACAAATGAAGCGTGTCAGTTCAAAGAGAGATACATGGGCTAGATCCTATTAATTGCATTGAGCTGGTTTGTAAGGATACAAGTAGAGTATGTGAACATCCGAGGATACCCACAGCAGGTGATTGACTAGCAATGCCCCGGGAATAGATCAAAGGTATGTTATGAACAGGAACATATATTGTAAATCATGCCGAACTAGTGCAAACAATGTGAAGGCAGAGTATAATGGAGACCCGAATATAATAGGGAGAAGCTCTGTTTGAATTCCAGTCAGCCAATGCCCTGTAGGGGCCTCGTATAGTCCTGCTGTGATCTCGCTGTCAGCAATTGTTGCAGACCGGTCAGGTCATCCAGGAGGTGCAGCAGGCCAGGATCAGGTGAGGAGGCAGCGGTGCACCAGCTGCCCAGACAGGGCAAGAGGCTGGCAAGCAGTTCTCTCCAAATCCCAGTGACGAAGGTGCTTTCGTAATTTCCCTTTAGAGTGATGTTTTGCTTTCATGCATGATAAAGGCTCTAGTAAGGAGCCAAAACGTTGCTTTAAGCCTTATTGAAGGCTCGAGGGCTGATGCATGTTGGCTGATTTTAAGCCGCCTTAGCTAAACTTGAGTATCTCCATCTTCCCCTCCACGTGTGGGCTCACCCCAGAGTCGGAGCAGAGACCCTATATCGGATCGTGTCCAGCAGATACCGGTGTCGGGATTCTGTTTGTTCCTGCTGAGTAGGCAGATGGTTGACCGGCTTCTGCAATCACTCTGGAAAGATTTCATCTTGCTGGTAAGGTAAATTGGTGACCTCTCAAGAGCGTAACCCCTACATAACCCCTTAATATAGAGAAAATATAGTTCAGGGAAATTAATATTTATATAAAAAAACTCTCAACTTCCATCAGACTTCTCCCTCCCTACTACACAACTCTGCGAACGTAACTCCACAAACATAAGTCTTCTTGCAAGCTCTTACTATTTTCTGAGGATTCCTGCACTTGGGACTCCATAATGCCGTCGGTCAGCTCTCAGACCCACCTTGCTACTCTCCATTCAGGAGCACCTACAGACATCAGTAGAATTCAATTCAGGAAGGGGCACACAAACATCAAGGAATACAACCACCTAAGGCTGGTTTAGGCCAAGCTGGCAAGACCCAAAGGCAAAGCTTAAATATTACAAAATTTCCTGAGCACTCAGAGTTTATCATCAGCAGGTCCCCCAGGTGTCATCTGGGTTCTGAATCTGAGTTTCAGGAAGAGTGGAGTGCCGCCAGGCAGGGGCGCTGCTGATTGGCTAGAGATGTCAGCGATATGCCTGGGAGAGCTGGAGATCGGTGCTGGAGGCTATCTCTGGGATTAAGTTGTTTGGGAACAGTTTAACCTATTAAGGTAAGAGTGTGCCGGGGGCATTTTGGCAACATAACAGCTTTCTTAAGATGAAGTTGTTATGGTGTTATGAAGTGTCCCTTGAAACGAATTGCCTGGCACCCCGACTGGGTACCTTCGTTGACGGATGCTCCTAGTGCTTCCCGAGGGCTCCAAGCACTCCACTAGACACCATAACCACCGCAGACCCCACAAACCGCCGCAGCTCGGTTGGGGTCTTGCTGTTTTCCACCCACTCTGGACCCAAGACCAGGATCCAGCTTCCCGTAGCTGTACCTCTCTTACAAGAGCTTAGTGATTATACTCTGGGGAGTATAGTGATTATAGCAATCCCCAGAGAGTAGGTAGTTCTCCAATACCCCCCAAACATGAGCCAAGACTTCATGAAGTCTGTTTAATGCAAGCCAGCACTTCCAATTTATGCAATTCCTCAGGCCAGAGGCACACTCCATGGACCTGATGGAACACCGCATTCCCAACTGTACAGACCAATAAGAACAAACATACAGTCTGTGACACTCCCATGTACAGCAAACAATCCCTCCCCTCTGCCTGGGATATAATTAAAGTAGCTAATATAATAACCTAATTATCCACAGGCAGAAAAACACACATTTTCTCCAAAGTGCAGAAGACCCCAAAACACAACATATCCTTATAAAGCATACTTAAAAATCACCCAGATCGGTCCAGGGGTTCAAAAGTTCCTTGGAAGTCTTGTTTGACCGACCACACACATATTTTCATGCCCAAAACAGTTCCAGAGAATTAGGCTGTGCGGCCGGTCTATTTCCAATAGTTCAAATACCATTCGAATTATCGAAGGAACTGGTGAATGGCCCTAGTCTATGTGTGTCCCTGGTTCGTGGACTTCAATGTACTGAACGCCACTGCGTTCGTATGAAAAATAAACGAATGGCTGGAAGTCCCAGCGGTGTTCGTGTGAAATAGTGTACGAAAATAATTCCAAGCGTTTGATGACAAAACACTGCTGGCCGTTTGACAGTTTAAGATAGCCGCTGCCACGTGTTCGTGCATACGAACGGCGACAACCCAGCCGTTCGTCAATTAAGCTGCGGTTAACCACAGATTTTGGGAGGTTAACAGGCTGCACACTCCACTTGTGGATAGTCCGGCTGTTTATCTGTTTGTTCGGTAAACGAACACCATAAGCCTGCTGAACTGTAGAAGGGAAAAAGCACGAACAAAGCCTTTCCACAGTCCTGAATCCAGGTCTAATACATGGGCCATAGTCACAGGGCAAGAGGCTGGCAAGCAGTTCTCTACAAATCCCAGTGACGAAGGTGCTTTCGTAATTTCCCTTTAGAGTGATGTTTTGCTTTCATGCATGATAAAGGCTCTAGTAAGGAGCCAAAACGTTGCTTTAAGCCTTATTGAAGACCTAACATTTTTCTTATATTTACAGACATCAGGCATTTTTAACTAAACGCAGGGCTTGGTAATTAGGCATGGTCACTCCACAATATCCAGGCTGTGGGAATCAATACAGTGAAATACTGATACTAAAAAGATATGCTGAAGTTTTAACTGCAATTCGAAATCCTCATATAATTCTTACTACCAATGATGATGAAAAGTCATATCCTACCCTCTCTCTCTATCAGAGTGTTGGGGTGGACAAACATAGAATGGGGGGCTGGACAGACAGAAACATGGGCAGACAGAGAATGGGTGCCTGGACAGACATGAGAATGAGGGGGTTGACAGAAAGATTGGACACAACTGGGGGTAAATGGGGAAAGGAGGTACAAATTATGTTGTACCAGCCACAGGGGGTGGGCTTTGGAATCCATGAGCCTCCTTACATCATAACCACTACAATAAACTGGTGGCTATGGCTATGGTTCTTGAAGAAGAAATGGGGGAAGGGCTTCAAATCACATATCCACCCTGAGTGCAAAATACCTTAGGTATGCCTCTACACTTACCAATCACTATATCATGTTCTGGATGCTTTTCAATGATTTCTTTTATCTGATTGGTTGCTTCCTTACGAGAGGGGAGTTTCTGAGCAGGGTTACAGTTTGTATTGTCCAAATACAAAACATCAATGGTCTTTTTGTTCTGCAAGGGTGGGCAATTCAGCATAGATGGGCTGTAGCGGAAATCTCCTGTATAAGAGAAAAGGCGATTGATCACAGTGCACATAAAACATGGCACTAATTAAAGGATGCATATAACCAGTATGTATAATGCAACAGTATAGGAGAATAAAAAATGAGAGACTACATAAATGCTGGATGGTGGTATATAGAATAGACGATAAAAACAACGGACTTTGATTTACAGGGAAAAGAGAAAATTGTGTCACTGTTCCAGGCTGCTGTCTTTAATCTGATTGAGTAGAATGAACTAGACCACTCTTAAGTGATACCTGAGTGTGAACGTTTACAAGAAAGGAAGAGTAATAATGGTTCATGGTGATAAAAGCACAAATCTCTTGCATCTTCATATTGCCCATCATATCCCCATCCAAACCATGGTGATATGCAGCATCCTCATAGGCATTTTTCTTCACGTACCTTGGATTTGGGCTCTTGGATTAAAGGCTAGCAAATTAAATCATTTTTGCTGAGGAGATGCATGCCATAGAAAAAAATGGAAATTAGTATTTTTGGGAAGAAGAGGGAAAAAGACTATTTGTGAGATAATGTTGGCAATCTAACAGGAGAGAGCGAGAGGAGTGAAACGGGCATAAACCGAGAAAGACATTTATAAGTTATAATATATTGGGGAAGAGGAGGGGATGAATAACCAATAAAAAGAAGAAAGGGGAAATATATTGTAAAAGCAAAAGGGTGAACAAGTGATTTGCTGAAAGAAAATGTGACTAATTATGATTGTAAAGATACATGAGAAACACAGTGTTAGATATATGGGGGAAATTGGTTGGTACTGGAAGAAACAAAATGCAAAGATAATATAAAATAATAAAAAAAGACGTACTGGCAGATGCCTTTCTGAAAGATAAAAAGTAATAATACAAATTTGGAGCAAGACTGAAAAAATTACTTTAAATGTAAAGTGGAACATGGTTATACAAACATACATCCGAAAAGCCAGTGGCACTATTTGGCAACTAGGCTCTTCAGGAAACAAATATGTATGTTTTGACTATCAGTTCAATGTGTACATTCAACTTGGAAGAGTCAAACGAGGACAGAAATAAGGGCAGGCTTTTTCCTGTTCACATTCATTGGCAGAAGGTGGGGGCTATTTCTAAGATGGGGGTTGACATACCATTTTCCACCTACTAAAATTGTGGCAAGTTAACCCTCCCCACCTGTGGCTTGGTGTCAATAATAATAGTGAGGTAGCTCAAACAATCTAATACCTACAAAAGGAATTTATACTTCACTTTAGACATCTTAGTTCTTCTTAAATCTTCTTTTTTCATTTCCTAAAAAGGCTAAATAAAAGTCTCAGAAAGCAGAACCAGGTCACAAAAAATAAATAAAAAATATGTGAACATAATTCTATGTTAGCCCATGGTGCTTTATTAAAACTGCCAGTGGGCAAACAGTAAAAAATAAAAATAAATAAAAAAAGAATTATCAAGGAGGCTATTTATTGGGGATTATGTGTTTAACAAATGGAATTGAATTGTCTTAACTGGAGTTAAGCATCATACTAATTTCACCCCTAGCTGTTATTGCTTGTTTATATACTCAGATATATCTCAGCTGTCCTCTTTCAGATCACTGTGGTCAGAAACTTACCTTATGGTTATTTTCAGAAACTAGAGAACCTGTTCCCTCTTCTTGATTTCCTAGTCCTTTGTAATTTTTATCTGTCTCAGAAATTCTACACCCTAAAAATAGTTTTGACTTTTTTTTAATTATTATTATTTTGTGTAAAGAGAGAAAATACATTTGGGTAACAGTAGTATAAGTACATGCTTTTATGATAGATTTTATTTTTTTGTGGAACCACATAATCCTCTTCTCTAAGACCTGCAGCCACATCTTAGAATCGCATACCTTATGTTAGCAAATGACTTAATCCAGAGACAAAAGGTACATATTGCATCTTGAGGCAGTGTTTTAGCCCAGTGTCCAAGGAGCTTATTAATTACCTGTGTATAGTATAGTGCCAAAGTAACCCTCAAACAGAAACATAACGGAGCCTGGGCAATGATTGGCATCTATTAATGTGACTGTAACCGTTTCTCTCCCAGTTTCATCCAAACGCAGCATATGACACTGTCCAACCTCCAAGGGCTTGATCCATTTATTATCAACCTGAGAAATTACAAGAGATATATTTTTGCAAACTCTGATACAACATGATATTTACATACACAAAATGCACAGTTCTATAATTGTATGTGGATAGGGGGACACTCATGCCAGCACACCCTGGTCCCACTGCTAATAGCATTGCCAGATACAAAATGACTAAAAGTAAAAGCACAGATGGTGATGGAAAAAAGTAACACTGGTGGACTTTCACAATTTAAATAAATATCTAAAGAATAGTGAAGATATTTAGAGACCATGTGACTCATTTTGGATGCCAGGCGGGCCTTTAGGCCGCTTACTACTGCTCTCCAGGATAAGGGAATACCCTACAAATGGGGGTTCCCCTTCAGCCTGCATGCTCGGCAGGGCTTAACTTGGCACACGATCAAGTTCCCAGATGATGTACCCCGCTCCCTCAGAGTGCTCCATCTACCTCCCTTGAGGGTTCACAACTGGTTGCTGGGAGAACTGCTTGGGCCCAGGATGGACGAGACCCTGCAACCCTCTACTAACCGGCTAGGCCAGATGATGCCTCCGCTCCACTGGGGCGGGCCGACAGGCGCTGAGGAATAACAGATTTTAGAAAGAAACACAGCACTGGTTAGGAATGGAACAAATCCATCCGCCAGGTTGTGATGGTTGAGAGATACAATGGGGCCTAACCCCTAGAAGTGCAAAGAGAGAATAGGACTAATGGGTTGCAGATTATAAACAATCTGCCTCCCAAAAATACCTTGTATCCTTATTTGAAAAAAGCTACTCTGCAATTATAAATATAAAAGTGGAGCGCAGAGAGTAAAAAACGAAAAACTCTTTATTAATCCCTCTTGGGGGAGAAACACACAGATACTAAACAAACAAGTAATACAATTAGGATCTAATTAGATAGAATTGACTAGTCCAAAAATAATAGTAATATGGTCAGAAGAAATGCTATAAGTATGTGTGTGGCAAAATTGCCATAAATAGTAGCAAATTGACCAAAAAGGGGGGAGATACACTAAATGTAGCAAACTGAAGATCTCTAAATGCAAAAGTAAATAAACTCTATAATTAGAACAAAGAGTATATCAGGTGCACAAAAAAATATATACTTTTGCATTTAGAGATCTTCAGTTTGCTACATTTAGTGTATCTCCCCCCTTTTTGGTCAATTTGCTACTATTTATGGCAATTTTGCCATGCTAATATATATTATTGTTTACACATGATCTATACACTGCCTGTACCACAGGGACACACCAGGAGCCTAGCAGCTGGGTACCTAGACCAGCCCTAAATAGTACTACAAAGGGTTTGCGCCCAGCCTAGCCTGAACCACACCTAGCACGCACAGATCTTACATGTAGTTAAACCTGCCACACACCCTAGACCACATTAGCTGATAGAGGGACTGGCTACCACATAAGGGGAATTGTCTATGGGGGGGTCTTAGTGCCGGACGGCCTAAGACTAGGATGGGACACGTTGATCTCTACAGCTGCTTTGGGTTTGTGTACTCGCTAGATATATGGATGTACATGGTGGGGATAACTAAAAAATTTTAACTGGGGGGCAGAGCATGACCACCATGCAGAGAAGTCGCATAAACCCAAGGCCCCATGGAATAAATCTGTAATTAAGCTGTATTGTTGCCCAACTACTGGGCTGACCGGGTTTAATCCTCACCCTACTCGTTGGTACTCTTGTGGTGGCACAGGTGGGGCTCTCTGGTCTCTATCCCGGCAACAGCAATAACCAGTCCATCTTGCGGCCTAGTTGGAGGCGTGGGTGATCACTAAGCCAGGGGCTCCCTGGAGCCAGAACCTGAAGCTGCAGAGGACCACCTATGAGTTCTCCTCTCCCCTCCCCCCGCCGGTGAGGAATATCCCGGCACCAGCAGAATACTTACCACAAACACTGCATGTCTCAGAGACTAGTCATCCCAGAAATCACCAGTTCCAATATGGTGGATGCCATACTTCAGTCGGCAAGCCTAGGGGCCTGTGGTGGTCTGGCATCTCACTCTCTGACCAAGCTTGATGAAATCTTTGCTGCCTTTTGGGCAAAGAAATCTAAGAGGACACTGAACCCCACACTTGCAAAGCAGACTGTTCCAGCACCTGCACCTCTGGTAATCTCATGCCCCAAGAGTGGACGCAGGATGGTGATCACTGTCAGTATATTTATCCAGGCAGACATTTTTTGTTAAGATAGAAATTAAAAGTGTATACTGCCAGTCACCCTCAGAACAGAGGTGACTACATTTTGTATTACAAGGCTAAGACAGACACAAGAATTCTCTCTCTATCACTCTATTCATTCAAGTCTGAGCTAAGGAATACGACTTATGTAAACAAGACAAGAAAAACAGTAAAACATCAAATGACAGATAACCCTAAGTAATTACTTTTACTTTCTCAAAAAAATTAACGGAACGCTCTGACGTTCTGACTGGAAAAACCAATGCTTTGAAGTGACATGTCTTTGATGGACGGTAATCCATAAAAAGATAAGAAAATTACGTCAAACGCATCACAAAATTCAGTTAACTCATTATACAAAAGGGTAAATGGACCCCCTGACAATCATTTTTGATGATGTAATTGCGCCATCTACTGACCAAAAACTAGCTGATAGTCTGTAGGGAAGACACACCTACAGTTCCCTATTGGTCCTATCAACTAGTGACGTGCAGAGAGTTTTCCCCTTTAACTCCTTAAGGACCAAACTTCTGGAATAGAAAGGAATCGTGACATGTCACACATGTCATGTGTCCTTAAGGGGTTAAAAAGTAAGGACAAAGGGGAGAGAGGGCTCTTTGGAAACATATTCTGACTCTCAAACTCTCGGGGACTTACACATTCTGACTCTTGAACTGTACTCAAGAAACTCTCAACACTCTCTTGGACACACCTAATTCTTACTATTACCTTTCCAACTAACACAATTTCAGAACTCTGAAAACTTTTCCACTTTTCACAATTCTCATCATACTTGCATTCAAAATTCCTGGGACATATCTACACATCTGATAGAAAATCTACAACCTAACTGGTATTTATGCTGGTTTTATTTAATTAAATTAATTATTTTTACTAATAGCAGGAATATATATCTGCATAAATCTTGGTCAGATTTCAACTATTAGAAATCATAATTAACTAAGGAATATATGGTTATAAAAATTCCATTCCTGCAGGTGGTATAAAGATAACGATATATAAACAGTAAATTTGCCAAATGTTAGCATACCAAATTATTATCCAGAGGTATTGACTTGTTCTGATATAATGAGATAGTGAATCTTATTTAGGAAAGTTAAAATTCGGCATACGTAAAATTTGGTAGAATTATTCTTATTGGATGAACAGAGGAATGGTTAAATGATTTTGAATGAGCATTACTTTAATTGTAAAATTGCAATATAATAGGATATTTCTATGAGGATTGTAGCCAGCAGTGGAAGAGTTAATTCAGTTTGATTTGACTGTCAGCCAAAGTTTGTATTGCTTTACGCTGCATTGCTGTGTGTTCTGTGAAGTTTTGTCTTCTCTGTAAATTAGTTTTTTAAGTGAAGTGTCCCATCATAAATTTTATTGTTAAATTGCATACAACCGTTGCTTTTAGCTGTCTATGTTGTGAAAGCATTGCCATATTGTATACTTATGTTATACCTAAATATTCACTGATTATTGTCATGCATGTTATTATTTTTATTATTATTGTCACAATAAATTATATTTTTATAATTAATTTGTGATTGCTGTGTGAAGTAAAAACACTGTAGTGAAACTTCCTCTCGGATCTAAGAGAATTAAAATCGTGAGTAATTCTCAGCTTTATATCATTATTCGGGGAACAGTGCCACGATATCGATTTTGATATAATAAAAATTCTTAAATTAATTTTTGATAATTTTTATGAAAATATTATTTTAATATTTATCACCACATAAATATCCTCACATCGCCAACGGTTTCCCAAGTAGGTGCTGATGACGGGGCCCGCTGCAGAGGCAGAAATGGAGAGTTCGTCCCATATCTAGCCTTCACCTCCACGTCAAGACACCACAAATCCGGACCAGACCTGAAGTTGCCTACCTCCCAGAGATGCTCTGACCCCCAACTACACTAATACACTAATCTCTGCCAACATATGCCAGATACCTGGCACCTGTTCACACGCATGCCTCTTACGTCCCAGATGACGGTGGTTCTAAGGCACTGTATTTGGTGCGCAGAGGAGATCGGCATCTCTCAGGCATATCCTACTATAGCTGGATTCCCCCACCATGTCTTTTAATCCATGAGCTGTTCTCTGAAAACTAGCAAAACATCCATTTACAGTCTTTAACCTTTCATTATTTCAATTACTGCTGTGTTTTTGCCTATATTTCTAGCATGTGTTTTCTTGATAACTTATTATAAAAACGGTTCAACATTCTAGAAATGACCCATTACTCTTAGTTCACGCTGCATCTCAGTTCACAGCTCATAATGGGTTTAAGCTTAGTTTACCTACAACAGAGCTGGTGCATCTGTCATCTGAACAGAACAACACTGTAGTTAAGTGTGTTTTCCATTTTATTTTCATGATACTAATCTCGTGTCTAGATTGTCTTGCTAGTTTAATGACCAAGTTTCACCCGAATAAGATATGTGCCTAGCCTGTACCAAATATTTTTCATAACCATAGAAAAAATGTGCATTTATTTAGACTGCCATGCTGTAATTATACTATGTCTGCTGAAGTAGCTTGTTGTTGTTGTCATGGCAGCACAAGCCTGTTTTGTAACCTTATGCACAACTCAAAATTAGGAATAAAAAAAAAAAAAAGAAAATGTTAACTGAATGAAGAGGTTTACGCTCGATTCTGACCTGCATACCAATGTGTATATTACTGTATTAACCTACATATATACTTCTGACCTACACCCTTCATTTGCTATGACGACACACCAGGGACCTAGCAGCTGAGTGCCGAGACCCACCTCACATAGCACCACAAAGGGTATGTGTCCAGCCTAGTCTGAACCAAAATTAGCAAGCGTAGATCTTCCATGTTGATAGACCTGCCACACACCCTGGACCACACTAACTGGTAGCACTACGGAAAATAGTCTGCCCTATAACAAATTGCACCAGGTGGGGAAGCGGGGTGGACCCGGGGTATCGCTTAGTCCTAGTTTTTCTTTTATGCTGTACTTTTTATTGCCTACACGCATGACACGCTCATATCATGGGGTGGCTCACAAATTCTCAGATTGGTTCGGGGGTGGGTGCAGGGCAGTTGACCTGACCTAACCTTTCAGTTGTGTTTAGCACCTGATCTGACTGGTCTTCCTTGACAGTGACTGGACTGCAGCCACGTTCCCAGAGATGGACACACTTAGTTGGGTATACCGGGAGTGGGGCATTGCGGACTATAGCGGTTCATCTATACAAACTAGCCTGTATATACGCACCCAATATTAAACAACACAAGTTTTTAGCGTGTACCCTGCTGCACTGGAACAATTCCGTGAAGGGATGCTTATTGTGACTGGGGACCTCAACATGGCATTGGATCCTCGGATGGACACATTGAAAGGATCTTGTTTGTTCCCCGCCAATTACCTGCGCAAAGATCTTGCAGTGATCAAGGCATAGCAGAAATGTGGCGGGTAGTACATCCAGATGACCGAGACTATTCATTCTACTCCTCGGTGCATCATCGATACAGAAGGTTAGACTATATTTTTATCTCTCAGGAATACCTCACACTTCTTCAATCTTGCAACATCTTGCAAGCAAGGTGGTCTGACCATTCACCACTCTTAACCAGCATAAACTCCCCATTATTTAAACCAAAGGAAAGGCAGTGGACAGATCCTCGAGAAGGCTGAGTCGACATCGGAAGCCGGAACAGCTCTACAACATTACTTTGTGGAAAATGACACACCACGTATGAATCCGCTTCTCTCATAGGAAGCACACAAATGTGTGATCCGGGGTATCTTCATACGCTATTGCCCAAAGCTAAAAGGGTCACAGAGCTTGTGCTACAAGTTGCTGCACTTGAATGCTCGCATAAGGACACGTTGTCGGAAGACACATATAAGGCCATCCTGGAGACTAGATGAGCCCTCATGCGCTCTTGTCTCAGTCTGCTCCACACCATACGCAGATCCCGACGACATTTCTATGAATTTTCTTATAAATGTGGGAGGTTGCTTGCCATAATTCTACAGAAGAGGAGGCAACTCTCCCATATCACTAAAATATGCGACCAGGGCAGTCAACCACGCAACTCCCGGACAGAATAGTAGACGCGTTTCATCACTATTATACTGGACTCTATAATCTACCCTCATGTTGGGGCCTGGGAACTCGCGAGAGATGCATGGCCCAAATAACTGAATATCTACAACAGCACGTCAGTCGAAAATAGATGTTCCTATCATCCTGGATGAATTGCAGTTGGCTCTAAAGGTCTCTAAGGCACATAAGGCACCGGGCACTCCATCGGCGTTTCCCAGCCGATGCGCTCGCAGCGACCATTACACTTATCTCCAAGGACGGGAAGGACCCAACCAACTGTGCTAGCTACTGGCCGATCTCCCTCCTTAACGTGGACAGCTATTTACAAAGGTCCTGGCTCTGCGAGTGGGTAGAGTGCTTCCGAACCTGGTCCATCCCAATCAAGTGAGCTTCATACCTGGTAGAGAAGCGCGTGACAACACCATCAGGGCACTCAGCGTGATCCATGCAGCTCCGTGATACCACCCGGCTAACCCTCCTCCTCTCTACAGACGCCGAAAAGGCGTTTGATCGGGCGTGGGGGCGGAGCTAAATGCAGCCTCATACTGCTGCACACAGAGGGGAAGCAGGAAGGAGTCCCTGCTTCCCCAACTACAGCATGGCAGGACTGAATCCACTCCTCCTTTGCTAGTGTGTGCTGTGTGTAACTGTGATTGTGACTGTCTGCCTGTGATTGTCTGCCTGTGATTGTGTGACTGTGTGTGTGTGATTGTCTGCCTGTGTGTGTGACTGTCTGCCTGTGATTGTCTGCCTGTGATTGTCTGTGTGACTCTGTGTGTGTGATTGTCTGCCTGTGTGTGACTGTCTGCCTGTGATAATGGGTGTGTGAGTGACTGTGACTGTGTGTGTGTGTGTGACTGTCTACCTGTGATTGTGGGTGTGTGAGTGAATGTCTGTGACTGTGTGTGTGTGTGTGTGACTGACTGTGATTGTGATTCTGTGTGTGACTGTCTGCCTCTGATTGTGTATGTGTGTGTGACTGTCTGTGATTGTGTTGTGTGTATGTGTGACTGTCTGCCTGTGATTGTGTGTGACTGTCTGCCTGTGTGTGTGTGTGACTGTCTGCATGTGATTGTGAGTGTGTGTGTGTGTGAGTGACTGTCTGTGACTGTTTGTGTGTGTGTGTGTGACTGTCTGCCTGTGATTGTGTGTATGACTGTCTGTGAATCTGTGTGTATGAGTGACTGTCTGCCTGTGTGATTTCCTGTGTGTTTGACTGTCTGCCTGTAACTGTGTAAAATAGGACTCACTCCGGGTGCCAAATGCTCTAGTTACGCCCCTGCCTTTGATGTCTACCTACAAATGAGTGCTACATAGAACTAAAACAAAAACCAAGGCTGGATTGTATTCTTACCTGCAGCATATGGTTGAGAAGCTTTGCAGTGACTGGTGAACAGTACACAGGATGTTTCCACGTAGAAGACAACCCACCAGTATGATCACTGTGCATGTGGGTCAGGAAGAAGAGTCGGACATGATTGCACCTCCTGCTCTGCCAGAAATCCACAGCAATGGGTGTATTTGGGATAATAAAACCACTCATTTTCACTCTATAGCGGTTCAGGAAAAAATGTTGAAACAAAATTTTGAAAATGTGTAACACACAGGCATATCATATTATTAATGGAAATGTAATATATTCTGAATTTTAAGGTAATCAATTATGGCAAGGGGATTGCATTTTGCTTGTGTTACAGCAGATTTTCATTCAGCTGCAATAAAATAGAATTCACCCACTAATAACTTTAACCTTTTCTCTTTATCCTCGACTTATATTTCGAATTTAGAGTCCAGGGAAAAAAAAATTAGCCAATGAGCTGTTTGTTGTATAAGAAACAGATATAGGCGCTCACTATATATAAGTAAAGCGTGGTGCTTTATCTTTGTGCTCACTATATATAAGAATGGGCTGCAGTAGATCAGCAAGGAGTGATGTACTGCGCCAAACCACACAGATATAAATATTATCTAAAGTGACCATATAGTGTAAATTGAGTAAATACATACATATACATACACTTATTTACAATCAGAGAGTGGCAAAAGTTTTAACCCCTTAAGGGCGGCAGGAGGTGTGGGGTGAGGGAGGAAGGCACTGTCTGGCACTATAGAATCCCTTTAAGTATCAACCAATTGTTATTTTTTTTTTTTTCAATTTTAAATTTCTTGAAGTTTTTCAAAGTGGGGGGTACAGAAGGCAAGAGGGGATGGGGGTTAACGCTTAGTGCACAAGGTCAATGTACATTACACTTGTTTGAAAACACAACATATTCGTTCACATAGCAATGATGCAGTACAGAGGAGTCAGGTAGATATCCTGGGTAGGTCAGGCAAAGTTATAAGGACCTTTAGTTCTTTAGTTTGCTAACTGATTGGAGTTGGGGTTGGCTTTTGTACAGTTTTACAGGTACTCGATCTCCATGCGTCCCACACCTGCCAGGATTTCAGATATATGTTAGTGGGGGCAAATATAGGAGGGAGGTGTCGCTCTATTTCCAGTATTACTTCCTTGATGGTCGGTGCTATTTTGGATTTCCATACTCTAGCGATTAGTCTTTGCGCGCTAAGTGCTGTATGGACTATTAGTTTGGTTTTAAAATTTGGTTTATCTGTGGGCACATCCAAGAGAAGATATGTGTGGGGGATCATAGTAGTTTGTACCCTGACAATTGGGTAATAGTCTTGCTTATGCCTTTCCAGAAGGGTATTATGGCTTGGCACTGCCACCACACATACAGGGAGTGCAGAATTATTAGGCAAATGAGTATTTTGACCACATCATACTCTTTATGCATGTTGTCTTACTCCAAGCTGTATAGGCTCGAAAGCCTACTACCAATTAAGCATATTAGGTGATGTGCATCTCTGTAATGAGAAGGGGTGTGGTCTAATGACATCAACACCCTATATCAGGTGTGCATAATTATTAGGCAACTTCCTTTCCTTTGGCAAAATGGGTCAAAAGAAGGACTTGACAGGCTCAGAAAAGTCAAAAATAGTGAGATATCTTGCAGAGGGATGCAGCACTCTTAAAATTGCAAAGCTTCTGAAGCGTGATCATCGAACAATCAAGCGTTTCATTCAAAATAGTCAACAGGGTCGCAAGAAGCGTGTGGAAAAACCAAGGCGCAAAATAACTGCCCATGAACTGAGAAAAGTCAAGCGTGCAGCTGCCACGATGCCACTTGCCACCAGTTTGGCCATATTTCAGAGCTGCAACATCACTGGAGTGCCCAAAAGCACAAGGTGTGCAATACTCAGAGACATGGCCAAGGTAAGAAAGGCTGAAAGACGACCACCACTGAACAAGACACACAAGCTGAAACGTCAAGACTGGGCCAAGAAATATCTCAAGACTGATTTTTCTAAGGTTTTATGGACTGATGAAATGAGAGTGAGTCTTGATGGGCCAGATGGATGGGCCCGTGGCTGGATTGGTAAAGGGCAGAGAGCTCCAGTCCGACTCAGACGCCAGCAAGGTGGAGGTGGAGTACTGGTTTGGGCTGGTATCATCAAAGATGAGCTTGTGGGGCCTTTTCGGGTTGAGGATGGAGTCAAGCTCAACTCCCAGTCCTACTGCCAGTTCCTGGAAGACACCTTCTTCAAGCAGTGGTACAGGAAGAAGTCTGCATCCTTCAAGAAAAACATGATTTTCATGCAGGACAATGCTCCATCACACGCGTCCAAGTACTCCACAGCGTGGCTGGCAAGAAAATCTAATGAATTAGAAAATCTAATGACATGGCCTCCTTGTTCACCTGATCTGAACCCCATTGAGAACCTGTGGTCCATCATCAAATGTGAGATTTACAAGGAGGGAAAACAGTACACCTCTCTGAACAGTGTCTGGGAGGCTGTGGTTGCTGCTGCACGCAATGTTGATGGTGAACAGATCAAAACACTGACAGAATCCATGGATGGCAGGCTTTTGAGTGTCCTTGCAAAGAAAGGTGGCTATATTGGTCACTGATTTGTTTTTGTTTTGTTTTTGAATGTCAGAAATGTATATTTGTGAATGTTGAGATGTTATATTGGTTTCACTGGTAATAATAAATAATTGAAATGGGTATATATTTGTTTTTTGTTAAGTTGCCTAATAATTATGCACAGTAATAGTCACCTGCACACACAGATATCCCCCTAACATAGCTAAAACTAAAAACAAACTAAAAACTACTTCCAAAAATATTCAGCTTTGATATTAATGAGTTTTTTGGGTTCATTGAGAACATGGTTGTTGTTCAATAATAAAATTAATCCTCAAAAATACAACTTGCCTAATAATTCTGCACTCCCTGTATAGCGTGGTTCCTTCTGCTGCCTCGCACCTCCAGCACACAGAAGGGGTATTGGGGTAGATTTTGCTTAAGCAGCTTGGCACCATGTACCACCGGTAAAGGGTCTTACAATGTTGTTCTGTATGTGTCGCTGATTTGGTTAGTTTCTTAGGTAGGTTTATGATGTACTCCCACTATTTATAGGTGTCATTACGTTGCAGGTCAGCTTCCCATTGTGTTGCTGGGTTGGCGTTAGCAAAGTGCATATGTTGAGATCGGTTTACATTTTGGAATTTTGGTCTGGTTAATACACATGTTTTTCCATTGCGTAATCCTAACTGTTGGGGATTGTGACTCAGCTGCTCTAGGGTGGGCTTTTGTGAGGAAAGAGCGTAACTGGACATATGAGTAGTAGGAGGAGTTCGGGAGGTATATTTAGTCATTAGGGTGTCAAACCACTAAAGGGTATGTAAAGAAAATAAACGATAGAGGTGGGTAACCCCTCTGCCTATCCAGGGTCTCGCATCAAAGGTAGGGATTAAGTATGGTAGTGGCCAACAATATTTCCTCCTTCCTGCATAGTCTATCTCTGTGTTTGTCCCAGGTTTGGAGGAATAATGTAGCCTCCTCTAGGTCTGCTGGTAATGGGGGGGCATAGGTGTTTCGGCACCCACATTATTGTGGAGAGCAAATGAGGAAAGAGGAGGCGATTCTCCAATCTTACCCACTGAGGGCTAGTCCCCAACATCAGATGTGATACGTTTGTGTCATGGTAGTATGTCTGGAGGTCCGGAAAGGCGAGGCGGCCACTGAGCTTGGGAGCTTTTAGTAGTTTCAGGTTCACCCATGGTCTGCATCCTGTCCACACAAACTTGGTTATGTCTTTCTGGATCGATTAGAAGTAGGCTGGGGGGAGAGCAACCGGGACCATGTGAAACAAGTACATTAGTTTAGGCAAAATAACTATTTTAAGTGCCACAATTATTTCTGACCATGAAAAAAAAAAAATGAATTCCACTTCTATAGTAAGGCACAGCAGGCATCCCAGGTTTTGAAAAAGTTAGCAGCATAAAGGTCTGCAGGGTTTTTCGTTACTGTTATACCCAGGTATTTAATGTTATCTGTTTGCCATTCGAACTGGTAGCGTCTGTGTTTTGGAGGTATTAAGAGAGTAATAGGAGACCCTTCCATATGTAGTGATGGCCTGCATGATAGCTGGTAGGGAGCTCTCGGGGTCAGTAATGTAGAGCAGTATGTTGTCAGCAAACGCACTTATCTTTATGTGGGTGTCACAAAGATCCACACCTTGTATTACGGTACTGATTTGAATGGATTCCAATAGCGGCACTAGGGCTTGCATGTAGAGGGGCGGGGAGAGGGAGCAGCCTTGTCTCGTGCCATTTGTTATACTAAATGGGGGGGAGAGGAATCCCGTCTGGAGTACCTGCGCTCTAGGTTCCGTGTATAGCGCAAATATTTGTGTAATGAGTGGTGGGGGGAAACCATATGCCTCCAGTGCGTGCCTAAAGAAGGGCCTGCCAAGGCAGTCAAACACTTTTTCCACTAGAGCTAGCAGTAGACCGTCTGGCTGGTACCTCTGAGCTTATTAAGTACCAGGGAGAGTTTCCAGCCCCTGCCTTCCAGCTACAAACCCCGTCTGATCATCTTTGACCAGGAAGGGAAGGGGCATTAATCTGTTGGCTAGTATTTTGGCATATTTCTTGGCTTCTGTGTTGAGGAGGGAGATGGCTTTTGGAGCACCCACGTTGAGTCACCAGGATTTGTTACGTGTGTACTCAGTGGAGGCCCATATGAACGGCTTTGTCATTTGCTTGTGGGCAGTGTCGTAATCTAGCCTAAATCTCTATATATTCGGCTTAAGAGTTACATTTGTGTAGAAAGTGTGGTCTAACTAATCTGTGTAAGCAGACATGAATGTAGCATGATGTGTCAATCATACGATACCAGGTCCACTTATGTGTTAGAGTTTACGCGGTATTCCAGTCTGGCGACAACTGAGGCATCTTTGGTGGGTTTGGGATTGTGTCCTCTGCAAGGGGTATACCCCAATCATGTAGGTTGTGCATGCCTTCCTTTACCTTTGAAATTGGATGTAAAGTCCGGTTTCTTTGTATGATGAGTTTTGCCGGGCAGCCCCACCGGTAGCTGATATTTTGGTCCCGCAGAGCTAAGGTAATAGGCATCAGGGATTTGTGAAATGTGAGGGTAGCCGGAGAGAGGTCTGTGTATATCTTCAGGGTTGTGT